GATGTTTAATGTATCATATGTAATTAAATTTTTCACTAATACATAGTGAATAATCTGCCATTGAAAAAAAATTACAAATTTGAGTATAATTTAAATTTAAATTAATTTTTTTTTTTTATAGAAGTAGGTAATACTGCATTACTGAATGAGTCAAGTCTTCCAAAAAACATTAAATCAGATTACCCTAGCTGTTACGGCTTCTTGTGGCTGTGGGCCACACTTACATCTTGCCTAGTAACTTCACAAAATCAAATTTTCCTTACTCAACCTGATTGCATTACTCAATCAAATAGCTTTGGCATGACCTTGACTTGGAACCCTAAGAAAATTTGTCAAGTCTTTTGGGTAACCGAAAAAGACTTGTGACTACCTTTAAAAGGATTAATCAATTTTAATCCATCTTATTTAATTAATTGTGTCAAGTCGATTCGAGTTGATTTATTTATTTTTGTGTCGAGTTTATGTTAACTAATATAACCCGTGAATAAAAAATTTAATACTCAGGTTTACGTCTAAAATTTAATTATCACTTAATTGAACTTATACTCATACTTTTCTATAAACTAAAAATTAACTTAATCAATATAATAATAAAAATGAATAAAAATATCTTTTTTTGTACAATAATTATATCACTACTTAATAAAATATAATAAAAATAATCATTTTATTCGTATAATACTAGTTAAACATGTTAACTTCATTTTATTTATGTTTGATACTAACGCAACTTATTTATTATTCGTGTTAACAGATAGACTCCTTTTGAGAAATAATCAGTTTTAACCCGCTAATTTTGTGTCGATTTTGAATCGCGTTTTCGTGTCGATTCAAAAATTGTCACCCTTATTTTAAATCACCAAAAAACTTTGTGTATTTGATAAACCAATATTTTTTCTTACAAGAATTGAACTTAGGACCTCGAAATGGTAACTTCCGAAGGTTTTCCATCCGAATTACCTTGTCGGGTTCAAGACAGTTTTCATTAACCAGTCAAAGACTTCTTGTTGAAGTCCCAATACATTCCTGTGAGACAACCATCACAAAACTGTACTGAGATGATCCTCCGATGGCCACAGTATTCTGGAGACATGGCCCTGATAGTATCATTGATTCTTGTTTGTCATCTACAAATAGCCAACGATCCAATTCGTGAAAAGTGAGAGGAAAGATAATCTAAGCAATGAACCTCAATAACAAACTAGTATATTGCAACTAAGATTACAAACAAGGTGGTGTGTCACACCGCCAATCTTTTCCATTGACGAATGCAACAAAAATTTACAATCAATGGATCCCACCAGCACTGCACAGGTTAATCAAGTCAAGTAGCGTAGAATACAACACATCCAAAGATAAATAACCCAAGAATTTCCGAGTTTCGGAACCGCCATCAGAAATGTCTGTCAGTTTTTGTTCCTCTGTAAATCCATCCTCCACCACCAACCACCAGGAGATGCACCCTTGGGTATCTTCCGGGTTCACATGTGCCACCAGGCCAAGCATTTCTCCTTGCTCCAACTCAAAGGACAAGCATAAAAAGTCCCGGTTGGCTTTTATTCCCACCATAAGAGCTTGCTCATGAAGCCATCGAATAACTTGGCTTGCAACCTATGGTAAAAGTCCGGGACAACTTTCATTAAGCATGAGAAAGATACCAGTACCACAACATCCGCATTAATGATTTCTCCTTTAACTAATAATCGAAAATACATGTACATAACTGTATATAGAAGACAATGTAGTAAGATTTTTTTGGTCAAAATGTAGTAAGATTTAAGTGCCATGTTATGCATAACAAAAACTTCATGCAATCCAAGGGGCCTGAACACTTCGGCAAACTTTATCCACATCAAAAATATTCTGAATAAAGTCCCAATCCAGATCACAAGAATAAGATAAAATAAAAAGAAGTCCAAATTTTCACATGCATAATGCTTATTTGCATAGCTTTATGGATGCAATCACTAGAGAAGGTACATCATATGATCTCAATTAGAAAGAAGGCGACTCGACTACATCAACAGATGCAACACATATCCATGAATTCTTTTCCCCGCGAAAACAACCCGACAATTACAGTAAGTCTCAAAGCCAACTGACATATCGACATATCGACATATCTGCCAATTGACGTGGTCTATTACCAGTAACTGACGTGGCAGGCAATAGTCAATTTGAACCCAAGCCAAAGACCAGGTTGGAACCCTACAGATGCATCAATCTTTGCTTAAAAAATCTGAATAATTTTTATTATAAAAGATAGTTATTCAGCTATTATTTATAGTCGATATCGTTCTCTCTTATTTATCCAGGGATACAATCTCAAAATCAAATTTTAAATTGAAGAATTCACATAGACATTTATGTATAGTCCTGATATTAACAGAATCAAGTATTATTTAAGGAGAAAACAGCGTCAAGACACCAAGGTCTCCATGGGGCAATGAAGCTAGGCACATGTTGAAAATAGTGTGTGATAATTATAATTTACACTGCTAATACAACCAATATTACAAAATTTTTAAGCAAATATTATTTATTGCATATCCCAGCGGTAGATATCAATAATATTCCAAATGGGGAAAAAAAATTCTAGGCAGTTGGATATTCCTAGCAAAAAAATCAATTTTCATCATCCAATTTCAGCAAATTATATTAAATATCGACAGTATTTGGCAAAATACAGCTAATTTAAGAATTATTCCCATCCTTATCCAATTTCAACAACAGATTTCATTAGAAGATGTAAAAAGGTTTCTAAACAGAGTAAAAAAGAAAAAGAATAAGAGAGATGGTGATTAGAACAAAGCCAAAAAGGTATAATTCTTCGAACCAAAGGCAGTGGCAACAATAAAACAACAAAATACAACATTTGCAGAAGTACATAAGAGATGCAATATCCATGTTGGTGGTACATACATTTTGGTTCTACTACGATGCACCAATGAGTAAGGTGCAAATATGGATTAAAAAGAGACAGCAGACAGGTATATGAATTTCTATTCAAAGGAGGGCACGCAAGTCTCAGATACACAAAAACAAAGTCCATACTCCATAACCACTTCCAAAAATGGCAATAATAGAGACATACCTGCTGGAGAAGTATCACAGGAAGATCTGCCAAATCACAGTCATATCTGTTCATGGAACATACATTCTCAGCCTTGCCTTTGAACAGGCCAATTACATTGGGAGCACCTTCCCCTTCTACATTGATGGAATCATCATTTACCATAACCTTAGTTCGGAAATGAGACTTTACATTTTGCACATGGTGTGGGTCAGATGTCTGAGTTCGGCGTCCTGCATGAAGAATGGACTCAGGAAGCTTCATGGAGAGTGTCCATGAAGATGTCCGCGAATGCCAAGTGGGATGAGATATCAACTGGACATATGGTACCCTGGAAACCTTTGTGAAAGAAATTTTTTTCAGATAAACAGCAGAATTGTCCCACAAAAATTTTAGACAAAGCATCTTTTATCTAATTATTTTGCTTCATTATTAATGTGAAACAAGAATTAGATATCGTACCATACTTTCCAGCTCAGAAAGAACTTTGCGTGCAAAGATACTGTGAGCAAGAGACATGCAAAAGTGACCCAAAGGATTTAGCCCATCCTTCACTGGCTGACCATGTATCTGGGTTATACCAGAAGAAATTGATCTCTCCTTTGCCCTTTTAAACACATATTCATGAAATATTTGTTGCAAATAAATTTCATAACTAATTTGATTAGGGAACCCCGACTTCTTTATTATATCATGTTTTCCTTCTTCTAACTTCGAGCCATCAAATGTTTCCAGAGGTATAATTGCAGTTTCTAAATTGTCAGTGCCTGCACAATCAACTTTCTGAACATCCTGTCTGGCTGGCACAAGTGAAATGGACACAGATGCTCCTTCATGTATGCTTAAGCGTAAATAGTTTTCTTGTATTCCAGTCACGTTGATACCCAAAGATGAGTTGAATGCTTCACGATTCACCAACTCAAACACCTGGAACCAGATGAACCAAAAAGGTAAAAACACCAGAGAAGCATGAAGTCAATAAATAAACAAAAGATAGGCTTTCGCCCACTGTCCGAGAGTCTCCATTGTGGCCTCATGTGAGAGGTCAAGCCAGGCCTCTATCCTGGTGTGGCTGATCATCTAGACGACAAACCTGACCATTAAAGAAATAAAAAAAAGAAGCCTACCTGCTCATGAAAGATTGCTCGATGAACTTCACGCATGACTGAATGTGTTTCTCGTACAGAGTCATCATCACTCGCAAGTTCTTTTTTTGTTTTTCTGGAAAAATCCTCAACCGAGCCACGAGTTTTGTCTTTGCTGATTTTTCTTGCATTATGAACTGAATGTGCACCAAGAAGCTCAAATTGAAGAGTGCGACGAGAATTTGCAGGCAAATTCACAGCCAGCATCCCAGCTGGGTCATGCTCAATTCGAACTGTAGATATAGAAGATGGGCGAAAGGCAGCTGCTGGATCAAATAATGAATTGTCAAATAAGTCAATGTAGAAGCCCTCATTGCCAGAAGCAGAAGCCACCAGCCGATGCCGTTTAACTTTCCAATTTTGCTGCAACCTATCCGCCCATCAGAAGATATGGTTTAACACATTATTCTAATAAGAATCCTCCTTACTGAGCTTCTCTAATAATTTTTTGTATGGGCAAAATATTTTTACACTAGAGGGGAGGGGAGGGGAGTTTGGCACCACTACGTTATGGAGGACTTTAACCATTCGGGGTAGGACCTCGGTCCTCGAAACTGCTTTAATCATAAGTGCAAGATATGCAACCAACATTGTTTGTTTTTTATTTTGATGCACTGTGCACATGAGAAGACAAGATGATGGGAATCTACTAAAGCAACATCATATAGGTATGCACATTAGGCCATATGATGACAAGACAAAGACAAAGACGAAAGACGGGAATGGCTGACCATTTTTTGCAAATTCTACTGTAAAATTTTATGGCAGTGTGAGTCTATTTAATGCTGAAGTACACATCAGATACAAGGCATGCTCACCTGATAAGAGCACCATAGAACCTTGCTTCCCTAGCTACTTGTTGTTCCAATGATTTGGCAGATTGCTTAAAATATTTTCCAAGATGCTGTAAATCAGAAACAAACTACAAGTAAGATGCAGTTTAGGTCAAAAAGTAGCTGTCTAAATATAACTTAGTTGGTTGGCCCAAAATTAAGCCTACACAACAATGCGAGTGGATGTAAAATTACCCTCACCATGCATGGTTACAATTTGGCATACATACATTTGAGCAAATTAAAAAATTTCATGAACAGGAAGTTTGTGACTACAATACCGACACAGGCAAACCTGAAATCTCTCACACAAAAACACAAGGATTATTACCTTGAAGCATTGTAGCTTGGTTGCCGTGGACACCGCAAGATCAGACAGAAGTTCATTTGGTAATTGCTTTGGCCTTGTCATCCCAGCTACTGTCACGGCATCATTAGCCTCCACCTAAAAGAAGCAAATGAAAAATAGAAGTCAACAAATAAGAGCTCAATCTCCTTTAACTATTCTGTTCAGCATTGTGCCCTTTCTTAACGTTATCACGGTATCACCTCAAAGACCCAACAATGAAGTCAAATCAAGTATAAACTTGGCCAAAATCACCAGGCAAAATCCTGCACAGAATTCAAAATTTCCCTCTCAAAGCTTTTACGTTAAATCAAAATGAAACCAAAAGCTAATTGAAAAATCCAACTGAATTCAAAATTTCCTCGAATTCTTCAAGTTAGAGAGACTACATTTGAATCAGCCATACCACTCAGAATTCTAACCCCAAAACCTTTAATTTTGTGCACGGAAATCAATCCAGCAACAAGCAGAAAATGCTTTGCCCCTTCTGTTAACCAGATTAGCTGGGGAAGGGAATAGAGGATATGCAGAAAATCATGTAACCCGCCATACTTTCTTTTTCAGGGTCTCACATTCAATTTGAGAAATTCTCAATTTCTACATTTATTTAACAAGGAGAGTTACAAGTGAATTTGTCTTTCCCCTATCTTTTTCATTTCCACTTCATTTTTTTGCTAAACCCATGGACTGTATAAAGGTTTTATGTTTGGAAGCATGGAATTCATCCGTAAAATTGGAATTGAAGAAAAACTTAATATAAATTTCGAGAGGTCTTTGATTTGATTTCCAAGCCACGAATTCCTCACAGCAAATTACGGCATGAACAACCTTAAAATTTTCAACTGAAATCTTGTTACAGACGCTGTCTTTGGTAGCTTGGGCTTGAGGCACCAGAACTGGAATCAAGGAAAAATCAATTCAAAATTTGGACTAATTTTTACCTATTTCCATTTCTAAACCCCAAAATTCACTCTTACAACGTAACATTAAAAGTCAAATTGAAAGCTAAGCCAATTCAGAATCCAGCATAAACCCAAAATTTCAAATTTGAGCGCTTTAATGCCTTCCTCAATAATAAATTTGAAACTAAAATCTTCTAATTAAATTAATATAACAACTTCAATTTGAAAGCCAAAAATTTTCCCTAATCCAAAAAAAAAACCAAACTTCAATCTAATTCTTCAAATGCATCTTGACAATCTGACTGTGCTCTGTGTAAATATTATAGGAAAAACAGTGAATTGGATATAATACAACTGGCTTACGGTGTTGATGAGATCGATAATGACAGAGAGCTCTTGATGAGCCAACTGTAAATTCTCGACCAAGCTTTGCCATGGCCATGGCTGAGTTGTTGTACTCGTCGTCTCCTTCGTTGTAGAAGTACTCTTCTTCTGCTTTTTGTTCGGCTCCTCTCTCTCCAGCGCAAACGCAAAGTCTATTCTCCGAATCAAATTCACTCTCTTCTCCTCATATCCAACATCACTATACCACAACGGACACACAAATCACATATATATACATACACACAGATACATCAAATTTTACTTTAAATTGCAACTGAATTGAAACGTAGTTTGAGTGAAATTTTTAGAGAGGCAGATAGAGTGAGTACGATGGGAATCGTTCGGCGCCGTTTTCTTCAATAGCTTCTAGGCGTTTGATTGGGAGCTTATCCAGGGAGATTTCTAAGTTTCCGTCCATTTTCTCGAAGATTTTCCGGCAAAATTTCAGAGAAAGTACGAACTATGAATAGAGCCCTAAGAGGAAAGACGAGGAGACTTGGTGAGGAGGAGGTCCAGTGGATTTACGAAATGGGCCCGTTGTTTTCTGTGACCTCATCTTCAAGACTGTTTATGGAGAATATTCGAAGGCCCAATGTTAAAAACAGTTGATATTCCAAGGCCCAATGCTAAAACAGGCCAGACTTTACCTCCGTGACCCGATTAGCTTGAGCACCGTCTTGACTCGGTTTTGAATCGTTCAAACTCACTAAAATTATCAATGTACCAAATCTACTTAGATTTCTAAATTTGCTTTATAAATGAGTTGAATCCAAGTAATGTATAGTTCGAGTTGAATAAGGTTGTTGCCTACAAGTTCATCACGAAATAATACCTATCCAAAATATCAACAACTACAACCTCATTCTTGAATAATATATGTTTTTTGGTCATAATTTTCGTATAGTATCAAATTATATACTTCTCTCACTCTCTTCTCTTTCGTAAACTAAATTAGACAATTGAGTTCAACCAGTCACAATCGAACTTTCCGGAAACTCAAACTTGACAACCTTGACTTGATGACTACTATTACTTACAACAAACAAGATTTAACAATACCTTTGTAGAATCTATTGTATTTGGATTTATACAGTGGTCTAGATAAAATCTAATCCCATTCTTTTTCTTTATATTTTTCATTTTATTATTTTATTCATAATTTTTTTATTATTTTATACAGTGACTTATTTATATGCGTTTATTTGTTATAGTTCATCAGTTTTTAAGGATAACTCGTGTCTGAAGGTACTGATGATGCACAAATTGGTCTTGTGTAAGGTCAATAGTTGATTATGTGAAGCAGTGTAATTAATGAATGTAATACTCAAAAAACTTCAAGACACATGTCTCCACCATAACAGGACAAGTGGCAACAATTATTATTTCACATGGAAATGGGGTCCGACAAAGTTTAGCTGGATTGGTATAAATAACAGTGACAAGTGTGGCATCCTTGGACGCAACGCCCAAACAGCGTCAACTAGACTAGTGTAGATAATAATGTCAAGCTGGACGCCCAAGGCACAACACTCATGCGTGACACCTAAGGTGCGACGCCCCTGGCCACGACCTCTCTGGGCGCGATGCCCCTGGCCACAACGCCTCTTGGTTGCGACACCACCTTGGCGCGTGTAGATAATAATGTCATGCATGACGCCCAAGGCACAACACTCATGCGCAACACCTAAGGTGCAACGCTCTTGGCCGCGACCCCCCTAGGTGTGACGCCCCTGACTGCGATGCTCTCAAGCACAACAACGCAACAGGGTGACATACATCTCCATCGCATTGGAAGTGGAAAAATGGACCCTTCACCAAGGGTGGACAAAAATGGAATCGCAGAAGTATGAGGCAACCTCGCACGCGACGTCCCTTGACATGATGCCCTCTAGGTGCGACGCCCCTTGGTGCGACGCCCCCTTGGTGCAACGCCCTCTAGGCTCGATGCCCCTAGACACGACGCCCCCTTGGCACGACGCTTTCAGGCACAACAATGCAACAGGGTGAGATACGTCTCCATCGCATTGGAAGTGGAAAAATGGACCCTTCACCAAGGGTGGACAAAAATGGAATCGCAGAAGTATGAGGCAACCTCGCACGCGACGTCCCTTGACATGACGCCCTCTAGGTGCGACGCCCCCTTAGTGCGACGCCCTCTAGGCTCGATGCCCCTAGACACGACGCTCTCAGGCACAACATCACAACAGGGTGAGGTACGGCTCCATCGCATTGGGCATGACAAAATGGAACTTTCACCAAGGTTGGACAGAAATGGAATCGCAGAAGTGTGGGGGCAACTTCAACGAGACTCATCTCTCCCGCTGCGGGAATAGTATCCTTAACCTATTGAATGTCGTTGCTCGACTAGCTCACTGGATTAAGAGGTGTCCCCACCTAGGGATAAGGGAGTATGACCCTTCTCAAGGGAGAATTGAGCAATAGGGGCGGATGAGCACGGTTGTCAACCTCGACCTGGGGCAAGGTCTTGAAGGTTTAGTTTGCTCGAGCAGGCCTCACAGTGTAGGACTCATTGTCCACTGGGATGTGCTTGACTAAGATTCGGAGAGACTCATAAGGTAACTGGGGGTTATTGGTCTAGATCAACATATGGGATGATGAGACATGTGGATTGGTGGCTAAAGGACCAAAACTATGTGAATTTCTTCTATCAGGTTCCTCGACAAAAGTCTCCAAGAAGGGTCTAGAAAGGAAAAGAAAGACCCCAGGTAAGAGCGCAATGGGGGCATCGCGGGCATGGCCTTCTCGCGGTTATGGTCCCACGATGTCTAGTCGCGATCATGGACCTTTGGAGCCCTCTCTCACCTTGGCTGTCATATCTTCCTCAGGGATACATCTAGGTTGCGTTTGAAAAAAATATCACATTTGCCTAGTTAATGGTAGGACGTATGGCTCGTCGTTAACAACCATTGGTATCGTCACGGTTGAGACAATTATGGGTTAGCGCGAGTGGTAGGGGGTCGCGGCAGGCAGCCCTTTGGGCAGTTTGACTGTCTGAGCACTGTGCTATAAATACCCACATTACTTGTCCACTGCAGAGGATGATTTTTGGCTGGTGAGAGCATTTTTCACCTACCCCCTACCCAACTGGTTCGTCCTTTCGTTAATAGGCAGCTCGAGTTCCTTCCATCCCATCCACTTATCCTACTCACCCCCTTCGATTACACTTGGCATAGACACGTGTGTTAACCTCGTGTAACTCATCTCCTTCATTTTTTTGGTGATTCCACTGGAGAGATTTGTCCTTGCTAGCCTATGCCTATTATAACTCGAAGTGGAAGAGTATTGTCTAATACAATGACTGAAAACAACAACGACAAGGAAGACGAGTAGCAGAAAAGCCCACCCCAGCGCGAGGATAGCCATGGTTCCTCTACGAGTTGAAGGGCTCTAGAGGTGTCAGGGCCCTCTGCAATGGTACAGGCTCTGAACGACATGCCAACTCTGCAACAACAGATGGCTGTGATAATACAGATGATTCAAGCTCAGATGTATTTTCGGCCGCCTGGCTTATCACTTGGTTTGCAAAACCTACAAATGTTCTTGCCAATGCTCCCGTAGTACCCAGTGCTACCACCTTCAACTTTGCCCACATCTCCTCCAGTGGAATTATCGGGCAATAATGGTGTACCACGAAAGTTAAGCTTTTATGGTTTAACTTTGCAAAATCCTACCAGTGAACCCCTACCACTTCCACTGCAAATTGATGCAACTAACCCCCTAGTTCCCTCGCAGAAAACTACCACAGACAACCTTCTAGCACGTTTGCAACAAACTACTACTACGAGATCTCTAACTCCCCTACAACAAGCAACTACAACGGGCCCTCAAAATGTCACAACACCTGAGGTGCCCACTATGACTAGACCCGTAATCACGACTGGTGCACCTCTCTTAAATTTTCCTACGGCTCTCGGATGTGAGCACGCTGTGACTGACTATAACTATGGCCTTACAACTTCCCAAATGGCTCTTCTCACCATCTCTACAAGAACACTAACAACTACCCAAGTGTGGGGTCAAACTATTTTTTCCACTGTTCCCGCAACCATGCCTTCAGTATTTTCGGCCCCCATCGCTACCACCTCGTTTCCACCAACAGCTGCTTGGATGCTACACTCGACTAGCATAGAACGGCCAGTGCCTAGTGCTGGGTTTGTTACACTGGCCTAAGTACATGCCTTACTGTAGAGACAGAAGGAGCCCATGCAAACAACCATGGACATAAGGTCCAAGTTTACTCCCGCTGTGTAACAAGCTATATATCCTGCAAGGTACTCACCGCCGAAATTTGAGAAGTTCGATGGAAAAAATGGCAACCCCAAGGAGCACATTACCTGCTATCTTGATAGCCTTGGCCATTATGTGCTTCACAAGCCTCTTCGGATGAGGGAAATTTTCAAGTCCCTCAAGGACAGGGGCTTCACCTGGTATGCTAACCTCCCGGTAGAATCGGTGAGGGATTGGGACAATTTGGTCGCACAATTCTATGCAAATTTTTTTCATGTCGAGTAGCGTACTACAATACCTTTCCTGACATAGACTATTCAGGATGACGGAGAAGCCCTATTGACATAGATTGACAAGTTCTGTGACAAAGCCATCGAGTGCCAAGAAAATGTCACCGAGGCGACCCTTGTCCAAATTTGCATCGACAGAATGCACAACAAATACAAGGCATACTTGATGAACAGTGACTTTAAAACCTTTACTAGGCTTTGCGAATCTGCTCAAAGACTTTCGAAGGTGGCCCAGCCCTCCCTGAAGATAGCCAGTTGGATGGACAAAAGGAAAGGAGCAACTTTTGTAGTTGCTGAGGAGGTCGCAAGGGGGGTCAGCATCCAAAGAAGCGAGGGAGAGCCTCCAAGCCCGAGGAGCCACCTTCGTATCCTTGTGGTATGAAGGAAGTCCGACAGATTCTCATGGAATGGATTAAAAACGATGATGTCAGGCTACCACAAGTGAAAAAAGAGCCTACTAGAGAAGAAAAAAATAGCCCGACTTTCTATGAATTTCATCGCCACACCAAACACAACCTTAAGGATTGCTGGACCGTGCGCCGACTATTTTAGAAGCGCTCAAAGAGTGGAGAGTTGGTACTGACGAGCGCCGGGGGCAATGTCCATGATCGACCCCTCATAGACCACGAAGAAGGTGAGGAGGTGCACATGGTGTTGTGATGGTAAGTCTCGCGGTGGTACTAGTGTTGCGCCTGTGGGTCATGCGACTTATGGGACAAACCTCAACTTGCCGAAGGTGATTAGCCTAACAAGTCTTTGTGGTCACAATCATTAGGTACCTTAAAAAAATCAGTTGAGGAAGTATGTTCAGGTTCATAAGATATTTGGTGTCGCAACTATATACCATGTTTTCCTTGAATTTAGAAGTATATCAATAGTTGAACTCCATTTTATAATTTGAACCATTAGCAAAGAATCAATGTGAGCCGACCCCAAGGCCAGCGAAGGGACCTTGTTATATGAAGACCATTGCAGAGACCTTATTATTGTTCCTTGAAAAGATGAACATGTCATGTAATCTCCGCGGTCACGACATAAGTAGTTCATCAAAATGCATGCCTAAAAATAAGAGTGGGGACTATTTGCAAATAATAAAAACTTTATGCATTTCATTTATAGGCATATTTTGATCGAAGAGCCAACTATGCAATGAATTTTCTTAGATTGGTATGGCAACCCACTTGAACTATTGGTCAAACCAACGGTCACACGAACGACTAGATATTTCTTGCCATACTTTTCAAAATCTAGATGATGTTTTCTCTACAATAAAGGGACCAATTTCATGGCTTTCCCACAGAAAATTATTGAGTCAAAGAGAGTTTTGCGAGTTACGGAAAGACTCACTAGGTAGTGCAGACCACGAAGGGTTAATGTGAAAGAAAAGCTCGGAGAACAGGCCCGAAGAAAAAAAGCAAGTTGAAAAACCCTCGCGGGAGGTGGCCCCAAAGAGATATATCCGTCGTCTCTAACTAGTTATGATGGTATGGGGGGACCACTTACGAGGCCGGGAGAGTGAGTCCCCGAGACGAGGTGCATGAAGCAAAGGCCAACATCACCGCGACACCCACTAATGCAGTCCCTGTACCAGAATATATGGAGGATCGCCCTAAGCCACAGGAGCAAGAGCTCAAGGAAGTAAACCTCACCCCACTTGGGGAATCACCGCTCAATGATAGTTAAGGTTTTCTATTTGATACAAGGATAAAGAGATACACCTAAAAAAATTTGCACATGGACAAAAATACATAAGTCATTGCGACCATTATGCATGCAAAGCCCATCAAAAGAAAGTCCATGAATGTAGGGGCAACTAACCACGACAACATTTTGGCAATAGAGAAATGATGGCAGAAGACTTGGGCCAATTTTACGAAAAAATTTTAGTTATCAGCATCACGGTTAGATAGTTGCAGTCAAACGACAAGTGAGGACCGAAAATGGTGTGCGCGCGCAGGATGCTTCCCGTTACCTGGTGCGCGCAGGGGCAAATGTAGTACTCAAAAAACTTCAAGACACATGTCGCCACCATAACAGGACAAGTGGCAATGATTATCATTTGACATGGAAATGGGGCCTAATAGAGTTCAGCTGGATTGGTATAAATAACAGTGACAAGTGCGGCATCCTTGGGTGTAACGCCCTGACAGCACCAACTGGACAAGTGTAAATAATAATGTCAGGCGTGACGTCCAAGGCACAACACTCATGCGCAACACCAAAGGCCCGATGCCCTCGGCCGTGACCCCTTCTAGGTGCGACGCCCTTGGCTGCGACACCCCCTTGGCGTGACGTCCCCTGGGCGCGAGTAGATAACAATGTCATGCATAACACCCAAGGCACAACACTCATGCATAACACCTAAGGTGCAACGCCCCTAGCTACGACACTCTCAGGCACAACAACACAACAGGGCGACATACATCCCCATCGCATTGGAAGTGAAAAAGTGGACCCTTCACCAAGGGTGAACAAAAGTGGAATAGCAGAAGTATGGGGCAACTTCGACATGACTCCCTATGGGTGCGACGCCCTCTAGCACGATGCCCCTGGGTGCGACGCCCCTTTGGCACAATGCCCTCGAGGCGCGATGCCCCTGGGCGTGACGTCCGTTGGACGCAAAGCCCACGCGACACCTCCTTGGAGCGTCATTCTCATGCACAACATCACAACAGGGCGAGATACGTCTCTA